GCTGCTCAGCTCGGGCTGACTCGAACCGCTGTTGCTCAGAGCTCAAACTCTTGAGCGAGCTCTTAACCAACTGAGCCACTCAGCCAGCCCTTTATACATTCTTTTCTAGTGTACATGGAACATTCTCAAGGCTAGACCATATATTGGGACATAAAACCAGCCTCAGCAAATAAGAAGATTGAAATCATACCAAGCATATTCTCTGATCACAGTCTTTACACTAAAAAACTATAAGAGATTTTTAAAAGAACTTGAAGAAGACACAAAGAAATGGAAAGACATTCCCTGTTCATGGATTGGAAGAATCAACATAGTTAAAATAGCCAGATTACCCAAAGTAATATACAGGTTTAATGCAATCCCCATCAAAATCCCAATGGCATTTTTTAAAGAAATAGAACAAAAAATCATCAGATTTGTATGGAACCAAAAAAAGACCCCAAATAGCCAAAGCAATCCTAAGAAGAAAAAAAAAACAATGGTGGAGGTATCACCCCCCCTGACTTGAGCTTGTACTACAGGGCAACAATAATCAAAACAGTATGGTATTGGCAGAAAAACAGACACACAGACCAATGGAATAGAATCGAGAACCCAGAAATAAACCCACATAAATATGGACAGATAATTTTTGATAAAGAGGCCAAAAACATACAATAGAGAAAAGACAACCTCTTTAATAAATGGTGCTGGGAAAATTGGAAAGCCACGTGCAAAAGAATGAAACGAGACTGCTATCTGTTGCCATGTACTAAAATTAACTCAAAATGGATCAAAGACCTAAACATAAGACCTGAAACACTAAACTGCATAGAAGAAAACATAGGTATTAAACTTATGGACTTTGTGTTCAAAGAAGATTTTATGAATTTGACTTCAAAGGCAAAAGAAGTAAAAACTAAAATAAATGAATTGGACTATATCAAACTAAAAAGCTTCTGCACAGCAAAAGAAACCATCAACAAAATAAAGAGGCAACCAACTGAATGGGAGAAAATTTTTGCAAACAACGCCTCCAATAAGGGGCTAATATCCAAAATATATAAGGAACTCATACAACTCAATAACAAAAACCAAACAATCCAGTTTAAAAATGGGCAGAGGACCTGAATAGACATTTCTCCAAAGAGGATATACAAATGGCCAATAGGCATATGAAAAAAATGTTCAACATCACTAATCATCAGAGAAATGCAAATAAAAACCACAATGAGATATCACCTCACACCAGTTAGAATGGCTATCATCAACAAGACAAATAATAACAAGTATTGGAGAGGCTGTGGAGAAAAAGGAACCCTCATACACTGTTGGTGGGAATGCAGATTGGTGCAGCCATCATAGAAGGCAGTGTGAGATTCCTCAAAAAATTAAGAATAGAATTACCATATGACCCAGCAATCCCTCTCCTGGGTATCTATCCCAAAATTCTGAAAACATTTATCCATAAAGATATATGTGCTCTGATTGATGTTCACTGCAGTTTTATTTACAGTGGCCAAGACATGGAAACAACCTAAGTGTCCTTCGATAGATGATTACATAAAGAAGGTGTGGTGTATATACACACAATGGAATACTACTCAGCCATAAGAAAAGATGAAATAGTGCCATTTGCGACAACATGGATGGATCTTGAGATTATTATGCTAAGCGAAATAATTCAGACAGAAAAAGTGGAGAATCATATGATTTTATTGATATATGGTATATATTGATAGAACTGAAAACAACAAAGGAATAAGACAAACAAATGAAGAAACAAAACTCATAGACACAGATGATAGTTTAGTGACTGCCAGAGGATAAGGGGAGAGGGGGATGGTAGAAGAGGGTAAAAGGGATCAAATATATGGTGATGGAAGGAGAACTAACTCTAGGTGGTGAACACACAATGTGATATATTGATGATGTATTACAGAATTGTACACCTGAAACCTATGTAACTTTACTGACAATTTTCACCCTAATAAATTTTAATTTTAAAAAAATGCAGTTATATTTTTAATAGCTATAAAGGTCTATATAATTGTATATATTGTGCCAGGTTCAATAGCCCTTCCAATAACCAGCATCATGTGTATGTTTCCTGATTCAGGTTTTTCCAACCAAGCTGCCATGTTTGGTCTGTGGCTGACTTCTAGTTCTAAACTCTTTAGAACAGCTGGATTAGATAATGAACTTGACTCACTTTTCCAACTTCTCAATGTTGCCCAGATACTTCAGCCAACAGAAAGAAGTTACAACCACAAGAAACAATACCAGACATGATTTCTACTAAGATAAAATGATTATTCCCTCTCACAATTAGTTTGATACATGTAAAGTATGTGGTCTTAGGGCCTAATACTGATAAAATAGAATCTGTTCTTATTTTGTGCTTTACTATATATGTATATGTATACACATATTAATATCTTTCACGTCTATTAATGTCCTTTGGATTATTAAAAACACCCAGGAAGGTAGGTATGTCATGATCCCCTTTTCGAGATAAGAGAACTTACTCAAAGACAATAAATGTGCCACAATGAATACACTAGCAGAGACCAAAATCAGGCCGAGTCTTCAATACATATTTCTTTCCCCTCTACAGATTCTCAACAGCAATATGACTCTTTCTTTAAGCCTCAGGTTTAACAGGTTATTTTTAAATAGAAGACATCGGGAACTTTATCACTTCTAATTGTCCCTTAGCCAAGAAAATGAGCACTGAATAACTGAGATATTCTCAGTGACTTACATGATCACCCTTGGAAGAGAGAAATTATGAGCCAAGAATAATATATCCAGCAAAGATATCCTTTAGATATGAAGGAGGAATAAAGACCTTTCCAGACATACAGAAGCTGAGGGAATTTTATAACACATGACCTGCACTACAAGAAGTACTGAAGGAGGCTACTCAACCTGAAACAAAAGAGCAAAAGAATACAAAACCATGAGTAGTATTACGAACAGACAGACAGAAACAACCCCTACACCAAATAAGACACTATGCATGTAAACATAACCTACAGGGTAAAGAAGAAAAAAAATATTAAAAAAAAAGAAAAAGACAACTTGCTACTGCAGTGCAGAAATCAACTCACAGCATAAATAGGAATAAGTTGTGACAACAAAAACATAAAAGGGGAGAGAGTAAAGGTCTGAACCGGCACAAGGGAATGGAGAAAGGAAACATGCTGAAGAAAATGCAGTACTCTAAATATGAAACTTTCTTTTACATAAACTTAATGGTAACCACTCAAAAAAAGTCCAGAACTGAAATATATAACATAAAAAAAGAAGAAACAAAAGGAAAAAATCATAGAATGCCGCCACACCGAAATAATAGACAGCAATAAAAAGGCAAAGAAACAATGGAGACACAGTCTTGTCAGAAAACCAAAGATAGAATGATAAGAAATTTCATATATCAATAATTACCCTAAATGTAAATGGACTGAACTCACCAATAAAAAGTAGCAGACTGGATCAAAAAACTAAACCCAAACATATGCTGCCCCTAAGAGACGCAGCTCAGCTACAAGGACAAATAAAATGAAAGGGTGGAAATTGACACTCCAAGCAAATGGTATGCAGAAAAAAGCAGGTATAGCCATACTGATATCAGATGAAACAGACTTCAGGATAAAAAAGGTAACAAGAGACAAAGATGGACATTTCATAACGATAAAGGGGACTATACAACAAGAAGACATAACAGTCATCAATATTTATGCCCCTAATCAGGGAGCACTGAAATATACAAAGCAACTACTAACAGAAGTAAAGGGAGAAATTGACCAAAACACAATTATAGTAGGGGACCTAAATACATCATTGACAGCTATGAATAGATCATCCAAGCAGAAAACAAATAAAGAAATATCAGCCCTAAATGACACATTAGATAAAATGGACATAATTGACATTTATAGAGCACATCATCCTAGAACATCAGACTATACATTCTTTTTT